CAGCTGCTCATGTATGTTGGCTCTGCCTTCAGGCCGCTCGAAAGAGCAAGCGCTTCCACCGGCCAAGGGTCCATTTTTGGGTCGGTAGCAATGAGTGGTAGGTGGTAGGTGGTAGGTGGCAGGTAGTAGGAGGAGCAGCGGTTATCCAGAAAATGACTTAAGCCCTACCCGGGTCACGTGCGGTGGTTGCATTTTGGATTTTGAGGGGTTCTCATTTGTTCTTGCGAAAGGGTGGCTGGCTTCCCTTCAAACCACCATTTAGTGGGGTAACTATGCTTCCTCAGTCTCTGGAATTGCAACTTTTCGGGTTTAGACAAACTTAGTGAACAGAAGTCTCTTGTGCCCAATGTTGGGTGAGTAACTCTACGATCACGGCGCCTGGAGGGTCGTCAAAGGAGCCAATCAGGTGCCCTGCGGGAAAGGGGCCCTTCCACTTGACGAAAATGGGGGACTTTCCAAGCCCAACCGCGGAGAATTTGCCGAGACGATGCGACTAATTTTGTTGTTTCGCCCTTGACAACTTGATGAAACGAATGGGGCTTTTTCCAAGCCCAGAGTCCGAGAAGCTCACATCCACCTGGCCATGAGTCAGAATCCAAATCGTACCCCGTGTGAACATCCCAATCCTCACTAAAATAGGTTCTAGAATGGGTGGTGAATTCACTTACCCCAAAATGGGATCCCAAAACACGGTTTTGACAGCCACCAAAATCGGTGGTACATGGGTGTTCCGCAACCCAAATGGAGGCACAGGCTATGACCCATGGCCAAACCCACCTGAGAGATCTCTTCAGACGCCGGCGCCTCTCGTTCGGCTGGTGGCCGCCCGCCTCGACCGCTGCCAGGTTCGTGAGTGCCACCTTTGGGCAGCGGCTGAAGACCATCGAGGCGGGCTGCGAGCTACTTCCCCCGGGGGTACCGTTTGAAACCGTTTGAAGCGGGAGAGGGGAGACCAAATGGGCATGGATCAAAATTCAACCACCAGGGGACCGCAGGTTTTAGTCCATGTTTCCATTTACCAGGGTTCCATTTCGGGTACTTATTTTTGACGCACACACACACAAATCTGTTGCATGTTTTGTTGGGGAAGAGGGGGTGTGAATCTACTTTAATCTTTGGACCAACTGAGTCTGAGTTTCCTCTATGGGGCGCCCTGCATCTTTTGGTCCTGGTCGTTCTTGTGCCGGAGCCTTTCCGTTGCCTTTTGAGGGTCCAAACGAAGGTTCGGAGGCCTGGCGGATTTTTTGGGGTTAAGCTTTGCGGGAGGATTGGTTTGCAACCTTCAGGTAGCCCTTGGAAACAAAATCCGGGGTCAACATTTACTTGGAGTTTGGAGGGGTGTGGGGATGTGAGACAGTCTTTTCGACAGAATAACAAGCAGCAGGCAGAACACCTCCCAGAAGGCTTCTAAACCATCGCCACAATATTATATGTTACAGGTAGTTTTGGGTTGGTTTGGGGAGGGCATGGTGGACAGCCCACGTTTTTCACCAAAAAAACATGGCAAGGACAATACATTTTGTTCATGTCCTCTTGGGGAGTAATTGTAATGTTATCCATTGCACACAGATTGGGTTGCCCGGGGGTGTTGGCCAAGGACGTCCCCAATAGCGGAGAATGCCTTTGGACATCGTGTTCCCCTTCCTGCACATCAATTTGGGGAACAGCATGGAGCCTGACTGGCAGGTGGTTGTTCGGAGCATCCTTGTAGTTGTTTTGTTGTTGCGAGGAAAAGGAACACTCACCGAATTTTGAGGGTTCTCTGCAGGGGGCCCAAAAGACTGGAGATTCTCGCTGGTTGATTGAGTGCCCACAGGTGCAAGCTAATGAGGATGAGCCAGGAAAAAACACGGTTTTGGAGCTTTCTCCCACTCTGGAGTGTACAGCTGGGCTTCAAAATCGGCCCAAACATGCTGGCTTTCCTGTTGATTCGGTTTGTCAGCCTGAAAAGGGCACCGCAAAAAGTCCACAAGCTCATGTCACCTAAGAAAGAACCTGCCAAAGCCATTTTTTCCACCAATGACCCGGTTAAACGAAGGGTCTTGGGAAGGTTTGGAGAGGGGGGAGAATTACACACACACACACACACACACACACACACACACACACACACACACACACACACACACACACACACACACACACACACACACACACACACACACACACACACACACACACACACACACACACACACACACACACACACACACACACACCACACAAAACACACACACACAAACACACACACACACACAAACACACACAACACACACACACACACACACACACACACACACACACACACACACACACACACACACACACACACACACACACACACACACACACACACACACACACACACACACACACACACACACACACACACACACCCACACACTCACACACACACACACACACACACACACACACACACACACACACACACACACACACACACACACACACACACACACACACACACACACACACACACACACACACACACACACACACACACACACACACACACACACACCACACACACACACACACACACACACACACACACACACACACACACACACACACACACACACACACACACACACACACACACACACACACACACACACACACACACACACACACACACACACACACACACACACACACACACACACACACACACACACACACACACACACACACACACACACACACACACACACACACACACACACACACACCACACACACACACACACACACACACACACACACACACACACACACACACACACACACACACACACACACACACACACACACACACACACACACACACACACACACACACACACACACACACACACACACACACACACACACACACACACACACACACACACACACACACACACACACACACACACACACACACACACACACACACACACACACACACACACACACACACACACACACACACACACACACACACACACACACACACACACACACACACACACACACACACACACACACACACACACACACACACACACACACACACACACACACACACACACACACACACACACACACACACACACACACACACACACACACACACACACACACACACACACACACACACACACACACACACACACACACACACACACACACACACACACACACACACACACACACACACACACACACACACACACACACACACACACACACACACACACACACACACACACACACACACACACACACACACACACACACACACACACACACACACACACACACACACACTTATCTCGAGAGGCTTCACTAGCCGAGATGAAAAACGCAGTCAGTAAAAATGCTTGAATGCAAACGCAAATCAACAGGTCACAACATCGACACCGAACAGGAAGCAACAGCGACAAACAGAAACCGCAAAAGGAATCAGGAAAGAGGGTCAGGAAATAGGCAGGTACGCCGGATTGATCAGATCCGGTATCCACCGAAATGCCGTAGCTTCATTGGACTGGATAGGCAAATCGGCTCCAGTCCCCCTGCAATGTGGAATTTCCGTCCGTGCTCCAGGACGCTTCACACACACGGAGCCCCAACTGGGGCGACATCACTTGTGCGAGGCCCATTGAGTCTTGCAAGCATCAATTGTGCGAGAAAGTCTTGTGGCGATGACTGACCACGCATACTTGGCTTTGGAATTGGTCTTAAGGGAACGGAGGAGTTCAATTTCTCCCTCAGTCCAAGGCTGCGAGGCTTCAGGTTCGGCCTCAGTAGAGGCATCAGTCCTGGTCGATGTGGTAGCTTCGCTTGGTCCACGAGCAGGTTTGGATGCCGTAGATCGTGAGGAGGCCAAATCACGTGTGCGGCGAGCTCGTTTTTTGTCGGGAGAAGGCGGAGGAGGAGTGGGCGGAGTCCAATGATCAGGGAATTGTTCGTCATGATCAGTGGGAAGGTGTTCATCTGGAGCATCAGGAGGTGGCTCAAAGAGGTCCTCGAGGGGGGCCAGGAGGGGTGTTGGTGGTGAGTTGGTCAGGTCCTCAATGGCGGGGTTGAGCGTGGCCTCCGGTGCCAAATCAGGTTCGGCAGTCGGACTGTCAGTGAACTCGCGGATGGTGGCGATGCCTTGTTGGGCAATGCCAAGGATGAGTTCGAAATCTTGGAGCAGCTGGCGTGCTGTGTTGGTATCCATGCTCGCAACGGATTTTGGTCAAACGGTCAAACAGCTGCGGCACGAAAATCAGGTCAAATCTGTCAGGAAGCAAAGGCAGAGAAGAAAACCGGTGTGGTTTCGCAAAGGACGGTTTTTCTTCTCTTTGTAAGGTGAAACCGTGTTGGAGGTACAACCTCTTCAACATTGCAAGATCCTGATCTCGCTGAAATTCAGGAAAGGAAACTCGGCTGATCAGCGTGCGTCTGGAATAATATCCAGATTCCTTATGTATCATTGGTGCGGCTGACTTGACGGAGAGCATGTTGTGCTTCTCATGCGAGGGAATGAAGGAGATGGTGCTGCTTGTGAGGTTCAGTCGGAACCCCAAGAAGTCCAGGGCGGCTTCTGTTTCCAGGAAGATGTCTCCTCCATAGAAGTGTTCGTCGCACAGTATGTTGGCTGCCGGAGTCGAGAGCCACCTGGGGGTTGCGATCACGAGTCTGTTGTCCACGTAGCGGAGCAGGAGAGTATCTTCAACGGAGCGAAGTCCCGATGTGGTGTGAGTGTTGGTCCAACATTGTTCGGCGACCGCGATCACCATCAAACAGAGAGCTGGGGACGCGGGGGATCCCATCGGTGCCCCACGTGTTTGCCTGAATGAACGAAGGCCGACAGAGAAGATCTGCATGTCAAGGGTGGCCTGAATGATCTCGGGGATGTCGTCGAGCCACAGGGTGCGTTGTGTGGGTTTGTGTCGGCGACGGCGTCCGTTGTAGACGCGGGTGATGGCAGAGGTGTCAAGTGTGTCCACTGTGAGGTGTGTGGTAGAGGAGTGTGGTTGTCGTTGTCGGTACCAGGTTAGCAGTAGTCGCCAGGCTGCTAAGAAGCGGTCTTTGTCGATGGAGGTGAAAAAACCGGAAAGGTCCTGGTTTCGGTAGTCCAAATGGGTGTGGCCGAGGCTTAGAAACTCGTGCAAGGACCGCATGAGTTCAAAGAGGTCGCCACCTGAAAACGCGTCAGGGCAAGCCGTGGCCACCATGCTGTGGAGGAGCTTGGCGAGAGCGTCGAGCATGGGTCGGAAGAAGGCGCCAATGAAACTGATGATGGGTCGGGCAGTGGTCCAGTTCTTCTTCCTCTTCGGGAGGATGTAGGCGTTGGCTGGCCTTCCGAATCCGGTCACGGCCCAAGGATAGCGGCCGCGGAATCTGGTGACAATGGTTTCTCGTAGTCGTTGGTGGATCTCAATGGCAGGGACCGGCAGAGGGGCGAAGATGGCAGGGTCCGCAAAAGTGGCTTCCAACATCTTGCCGTAGAGAACGGGACAATAGATCATGAGTCGGGAGTCCGCATGGTCTTCGCAATGGCGGACAAGGGGTTCCAGGGTATGCAGAGCCCGTTGGACGTGGGCGTGAAGAAAGTACTGTGATGTGTGTGAAAGGTGGAGGTCGAAATGGAATTCGACAATAGTAGTGAGGGTTGATGGGTCGAGCGCGGGTAGGTTGTTGGTCCTGGCCCAGTGTTGAAATGCCTGGGTCAGGCGACTCATCAAGACCCCTCGTGGAGGAAAGAAGGAGTTGCGCATCGATCCGGATAGCATGTGGGCAGTGTCTGCACCGGAGAAAAGAAGGTGTCCGTCATGCTTCGGGAGGGATGGGTGTTGTTGGGCGAGGTCGGTGCATGTGCAGGTCGTTTCACCGAGA